GTAGGGGTGTTCCTTGTCTGTAGGGAGCAGCGTGTCGGTCTGCGTTCACTTTTGGCAAGGCTTCCCTCACCTTGGACAGAGGGAGGAGATCAGGCCTGGTCCCCACCGCGAGACAAACAGATTAGCAGCTGCAGCTGAAAAACAGACTTTGACATAAGTATCGCTGTAGGAGGAAGCCTTACATGTGTGTGCAAGCCTAACACAACAAAGAAATGCTAATCTTTCCAACAAATCGAGAAACTGTTCTACAAGCCAGATCTATTTTAGTAAATATGGTGAGTGTGCAGGATGAGGGTGGTAAGGCACAGCCTCTGCCCAACCTGCCATCTCATCCAGCCAGAAAAATGTTTTCACCAATATTCCCCCTTTCCTTTTGGGAATGCTGTTCTCTGAATCACGTCCAAGTACTGCCTGGAAAGTGTTGGTTGCCACAAGCCAAACTTGTGCATACACACAAACAGGGAAGGGGACAAACGAGCAGTTAAGTCATTCAGCTACAGCCCAAGTACGTACACTGGCCATAGTTAGACTACAGATAGCCTGTCTTAGCCCTGGGGGTAACTTAGTGTTGTTACTACGCAGGAACTCAAATCCTGATACAGGTTTGAATATAGGCTTTTCTGATATCAAGTAATCTCAGTATCCTTTCTTCTCTGCACAGCATCACATCAGTTAGAAGAAAATAATGTTCTAGATGGTTATTTTCTTCCAAATGAAGTAGATCTTCATCAGGTAATTGTATTGCCAAAAGCAGAATGGGCAAGGATTCAGGACAATCTTGGCAGCATGACTAGAGAAGCAGCACGCATCCTTGCCGAGAAGAAAGAACGGGAAGAAATGCACTTACGCTCCAAAGCGGCTGTAAAAGACTGGCCCAATACCATTATGGTAAGTACAAGATACATTTGTAAACAAAGGGGTTTGTTTTCATATATGCAAAACCACTTGTGATAATATTTCTAGCTGTACTCCCTTTGTTTAACATTTGCTTTTATACATGCATTTTAACTAAATTCCATTTAGATACATTTAACATCTAACATAAACTTTTTTTTTTAATTAAAGCTAAAATGCAAAATTAAAAAACCCCAAACATTGATTACCTTCAGAATGCTTGATATGTTTTTAATCCATGTGCTTTAAATGTGATTTCTAATTTTATCTGCACTGTAGGGCCTGGCACAACGGAAACTTAAAGCCAAACAATTACGTGAAGAAAGGGAAGAGGAAGAAAGAAAATTACTTGATTTGGAAGAAGAACAGTTCCAAGCAGCAAAACGGAAGGAGGCTATTGATCATGCAAAAAACTACCTATACTATCAGAATGAAAGAGTGAAAGGGTTGCATGTTTGTTGACCACTTAAAATTTTTAAATTCAAATTGTACTGAATTTCTTTAAACACTTCTGAACATACAGATTACTTTAAATGTTCTCTTGCAGAGTGCACTTCTACTTGCTGAGGTCCTAAAAGAAAGAGATGCTCAAATTGAATTTAAAAAGTTAAAGTCAGATGTTAACAAAAAGAAGCATGAAGAAAAGGAACATGAACTTAAAGAAGCTATTCTTGGAGAGCAAGAAAAGGCACATCAGCGTTATATGCATCAACAGGCACTACGCAGAGATCAGCTGGAACAGTAAGTAATAATTAATCAAAAGTAACTATTATTCACTTGAACTCTCTTCTCACAAATACATTCTATACAGTTTTTACAGAAACTTGCTAATAATTTGATTCACAAATGCAACACTTTAAAAGAAAAAGCCAGAGTGCCACAAAAGACCTTGCACAAAAGGGAAAAGCTGTGGTATGCAGTGTCTTTTATTTGCCAACAGTCTGCACGTAAGTTGTCTCTGGTAGGCATCAATAGGTTTTAGTCAAATCGCTATTCAAAAGTTGTTACTGAAAGTCTATTTTAACTCAGTTTTGGTCCGAGAAAACAAAAAGGTTAAACCAGATTTTCCATTTGTCCATAACTAGATTCCAGAGAATGTATCACTGCCATTTCCATTCTCTCAGCTCTTACTGAAATCTTATAGAGGGGTCCCCAGTGGTATTTATGGGACTGGCCCTGGTGGTCTGATAGAAGGAATCAAATTCCCTGAGGCAGAGGAAGGGCTCAAAGTATGGTCTCACATATTCCAGGTCTAACACATAAATCTTTGCAGAACTTAGTATAGAACACTACCAGTTTAAGCTGTTGCCTGCATGCCTAGAAGGAGAAGCATAGATATGGTGGCATTTACTGGGGAGATCTTGTTCACTGAGGATGCTGCAGAGATAGCCCAGAACGTTATGAATGCAGCAGTGCTAACAGGTCATTCAGATGAAACTTCTTACTGCTAGACTACAACCTGTGAGCACACCATAGCTGATTTCTGGTCAGAGGACTGAGGCTACCATTACAAACAATGATGCTATTTTTCACCTCTGATATTCTTTAATTCAATGTATCACATCCTTCAGTGCAAGGTGCCTATGGTTATGCAGAATCCCTATCCATTACTTCATGTGATCCCTAGCCCGTTTATTCAGCTCCTTTTCCTGATTCAGAATAAAGGAGCACAAGCGTCAGGCAGAGCTGGCCAAGCTAGAAGACAAAAGAGAAGGGGAACAAATCCAGAGATTGAACCAACTGTACCACCTGGAAATTCAGAGAAGAATGAAAAAGGAACAGGAGGAAAAAGTTGAACGCCAGCAGCTCTATCATGTAAGTAAAAGGAAAGCAGACAGTTCAAAATGCTTTTTTGCCTTGGCTCCGTGGAGTGAAACAATGGCATTCCTATATCTAGACGGGCCTAGTGGCAACAGGAGGTTTGCTGACAGCTTCAGTAGCGTTGGATCATATGTCTACCCTGTCAGTTGCAGGCCATGTCTTTCCTCTGTGCTTTTGAGAAAGGCCTCCTGGAGGCAGGTCACTTCTCCTGTCTGAAGGATTGGCACCTGATGCTTTGCCTGATGTATGATTAAAAAGTCTACTGTAGACATCAAGGAATATTCTCCTTGACTTTGACGATGCTGAGAACTGGATTTAAGTTCCACATACCTGCTGGTTTAAGCCCATTTTTCCTTGTTAGGAAGAGGGAATAGCCTGAGTCTCAACATAAGAGTTTCTTTTTAACTTGTCTTTCCCTTTATGAGTGGAGAGGTTTACAAATTTAGTCAAGATGTGCTGCCTTCTCTCTTCACCTTTAAAGGCATCTTGTTAAACGCAAACTAGAAATGCCTCAGAACAGTTCCAGCCAGCATACAAAAGACAGTTGGTTTTTTACATAAAATTATGGAAAACTCTTCTTCAGCCATGATTTAGATTAAGCTTTCAGACTGGGATAGTTTTGGGGGCCAGGAGCAGCACAGTCTGCCGGTGTGTTGGCTGGGGTTGCACAGTCCCATTTCTCTCAACATCTCCCTCTCCCATGTGCGTGAATGGGAGCAAGGGATAATGCTCACAGCATTGCATAGCAATTTGTTTGTGTAATGCGCCGGAGAAGCAGCTGTTCGATGCTCAATTCCCCTTCTCCTTCCTCATATCTACTATCTTCTCTTCATGCATGTTTGAACAGGGAGGCAGGAGTAAGTGGAAGTACTGAGAATCCCTTTCCTCTCTTCTCTCTTTGAAAGAAACACAAAGAGAGACAATAGGGCATGATTCTTCTAAGTTGCTACCCCAGGCCCAGATTTTCTGAACTTCATCGGTTATATCGGAACCATTTTGCCCATGCAGGCGCACGTAACTGACCAGAAAATTATCAAAGCAGTAGAGGAACAAAAACAAAGGGAAGAAGATGATCGGATTAAAGCTCATTTTAAAGCAAAGGAAACTATTGCCAAGCTGATAAAACAGAGAGAAGCTGAAATGCGTAGGTAGGTACAAAGCCAGAGTATAAATTGTAAATAAACTAAAAATTATACTGTAGTCATATTCAGATCTTTCAGACTGATGATGTAACACAAACCACAGTTATTCTAAAAATTAAATTCTACTGATAGGGACAGTAGAGAAATCAGGAGAAAAAGGAAATTCTTTCACAAGTTCCTTAGTAATTGGTGTGTGGGGAGAGTGAACTCTCCGCCCTTCGAAGTACAAAAACTTATGGAAGTGCAAAGCTCTACACCATTGTGCTGGGAACAGTGAATTTCCATACGGCCTGCCAAGCCTCCACTTCCTCAACAATTAAAGATAATTAAAATCCTTGATGAAAGTATTTTTGGGCATAAGCTATATTTGCCTGAGTCAGATCAAGAAAAATAATTTGACTTCTTAACTAGGCATCTATATTAATTAATTATGAATTATATTTATTAATTGTGTTTTTATTAAGGGAAGATGGCTTACCAATTTAATAGTGAGGGTACAGCATGAAGATCCCATTGAGCCAATATAAGAGCTCCCTTCTCTTCCTACTTCAGTCCAATACTCCCAACATTTCTCTTCTGCTGGCAAGATGCTAGGGAGACTCCTCTCTGAGTGATCCAGCTCATTATTGCGACAGAAAGCTAGCATTATGAGAATACAGGGAACATTTATTTGCTAAATCAAATAATTAAAAAAAAACCCACCCACAAAACAAAACAGGGGGAACACAGGGCGTTGGGTGGGTGGGCTGGCCTGTCTGGCAAAAGAAGGGAAGACTAGAAGTAGGATTGCTGAATTTGGTAGCAGTAATGCTTCAGGTAGACCCAGGTGTATACCCTGGTATGTTATGGTAGCTCATGTTCTTCTGCAGATTAACACAGGAACATCAGGACAAAATTGTTAGCCAATTAGCTGTACAAATGAATGAGGCATTAAAGAGGGAAGATGATCGTCTTGCTAGAGACATTGCAAAAAAAGAAGCTGAACAAGAAAAAAAACGCGAAGAGAAAGAAGCAAAAGAAAAGGCAGCCATCGAATCTATTGCTGAACACAGAGCCACTGTGGTAAGAAACCTAGCCTGTTCTTACTCCTGCTTAGTCCAGCCAAGGAGCCCAGACCAGACCACAGCTGGCGGCACTGGTGGCTCTGGTGCCATGCGTCAGCATGCTTCAGCAGGTCTGCTGACATCTTTCCTGGGCTCCTCTCTCCCACTTCCCCGTTGGGCACACATCTGCCAGGGCCACTGAAAACCCTGGGCTTGGACACTGGCCAGGCACAATGACCGTGCTTATCAGAACACGGATACAGGGCGTCTTCTGCTGAAAGATATGACTTCCAAGCTAGCAGGCTATCTCCTTGGTTAACTCTTTTTATGTATTTTGTAAAATACAGATGAGGATGAAAGTGGAAAAGGAGAGAGAGGAAAAAGCAGAGGGTAAAAAAGACCTTCATGCATTAATGGAAAAGAACCGCATCTACCTGGAAATGGAAAAAGCCAAGAAACAAAGACAACGTGACATAAACATGGAAGTACAGAAAATTCAGATCCAGCAAATGGTAAATAGAAGAGCTCTGTCAGCCCCTTCAGAAGGAAGCCCACACCTAAACCAACAGCACTAGCTCCTGCCTGAGAAGAGAGAGAGGAAGCTTGCTGTGTTTTGTTTGGGGTTTTTTATTTGCTGGTTTTGGTTTTTTGGGTTTTTTTTTTTTAATCACATATGCTCCGCATATGCTGGTGTTGGGGACCAGCCTCCTCCCAGAGCAGTAGTGCAAGTCAAGGCTGGTTTGCAATGACAGATCACATCCTGTCCTGTGCCAGTATGTACTGCTGCTCTCTTATCTTCTTGGCAGTTCACCAAAGAGCAGCAGCTGATGCTGATGTTCACTCCGCTATTTAATGTACCCTTTTTGGGGGGGGTATGGCAGGGGAGTGAAGCGAGAAGGGATGATATTTGACAAGTATCAACTAACATCACTGCAGATTTCCTATAAGCTTTTACTCTCTCCAAGTTTTAAGGGATAGTTATGTTGTGAAAGAAATATTAAGCTTTGGTATTCCCTTTTCTTCATCAGGCTGAAAAGCAGGCAAAAAAACAGCAGGAAAAGCAAGCAGATTTGGACTATGATGCTGAGAGAGAAGTTATTGCACTTTGTAAGGAGTGTGAATTTCAGACCTATGCAAAGCAAATAATTGAATCAGAGTCCAAGACTACACATCATCTTTATCCTCTTCTCAAAGCATCCAAAGATGGACGAAGACTTGGACATGGGCCATTTTCCAGAGGAAGGGAAGGAATAAATACTGGTTTTCAAGCACAAGATGGTGCTGGGACCCAGTTACCCTGCTGTAGCTCTACTACTGCTCAAGAAGTTAAAAACATGAAAAAATATTGAGACTATCCAGCAAGAAAAGGCAGAAGCAGTTTTCCACTGCCAGAAGCAGTGGTCAAAAAAATACCATTTTTAACCTTATGGGCAGAGTTAAACTGTAAGTTATCTATATCAAATATATGTTATGAATCTGGAAGTCCATTTGAAAAAAAAATTGCAAGAGAACTGGTTATATTCTCAAAAATCCCCAGCTTGTATTTCATGAAAGTTATTCTATTAAACTTGAGACAGAAATGCATGATATATAATTGACCATCAGTGTAACCCGTGCCAGCTCACTATTACTGTTACATTTTTATCATTCATTATTCTAAAAATTCACTGTCCCAAGTTTTTCAGGCCCTGGATATGAATTCCCAGTGCAAAAAGGTCACATTTTTCACTAGCCCACTTCCAGTTAAGTATTCCCCATACTGGAGAAAAAAAACAACAAACCCACAACTTTACAGGATCTACAGGGGAGGAAAATACAACCTAATACATGTGAAAGTTAGAATAGTTATGGTACTGCAGTTTTTATAGCATTTTGCAACTACCTCTGTAAAAAAAAAAAAGTCACACTATAAATTAGTTATTATATATGAAAATGCAAATGTGATTTGATCATAGCCCTTAAAAGGTCACATAGGAGGCAAATACGTCCCAATATAGTAAATAACTCTTACAAAAAGAGCGTGGCAACAAGAACAACATAGTTGGACTGTTCTTTCAAAAAGACTAACAATGATTCAATCTGCAGTAAATAGATCCAGATTTAAAATTGTTTCTCAGATTCCTCAGTTGATTTACTCTCCAACATGAAAATCACAGACACATCTCACTCCTTAAGCTTAGTTTCTTTGACTGAATTTTTACCATCGTGTTCCTGCCTTGGACAGAGTTAGGGTTTCCTACAATGACTTCCTCCACAAGTATCCTGGGGTCTAAACAGGGTATCCCCCTATTCTGGGGTCCACTGAAAACAAAGTCCAAGAAACTTGAAGCTTTGCTTTGTTGCACACAACCTTCTGTTCAAGCCCCGACAGGTGCCAGTCTCTGTTAGCCAAACTAGAAAACAACACAAGTTCTAAAAAAAAAAAAAAAAAAAAATTAGGAGAGCTTTATACAAAGGATGCTTGACAGTATTTTAGTTCGGAAAATGGGTGTGTGCCTTCAAGTTTCTAAGCCTGGCTTCTAACAGCAACAGGCTTTGAAGAAAACACAGGACTTTAAACAAGATCAGAGGCTACGCTGGAGGCGAGGTCCCTTCTGCAAGCTGAGGGCCAAGTAGAGCTGGTTTTACCTCGCCCGCAGTGTAAAACAGCTGGATGTAAGATGGACGAACTCCTTCACGAGTGCAGCAGTCACCTCCTCGAGGAGTCTCTTCCCGGCAGGGCAAAGAACTTTTGCAAGGAGGGGGAGGACCGACCTCCTCCCTCATCCAGCTCCCAGGGCCGCCAAGAGAAAAGCAGCGCCCAGGAGCCACCTTTTAAGGCCAG